TTATGATTATTTTTTACACATGATTATTCTCATTTAGATATTTTATATTTTATTTTTTCATTTGTTGAAATGGGCATGGCCTGTCATGACCATAAGACCAACTTGATTGGTTAGGCGGGTCGGGCTGCGCCCGCTACTGATACTGATATTGATACCCTACAAGCGGATGCTGGGCGTGCTGGAAACATGCCCATTTTGACTAATGGTCCGTGATCTGGTTGTACGGTTTTGCTGGGCTGACCTCACAATATGTCTCTCTTCTCGGGCGTTAGTCAAGGGAGGAGGCTGGCATCCTGCATGCTGTTGAGTATGACCCTCAGCAACACATTGATTCCATGTTAGCATGACAGTAGTTGGATGTCGACCAGTGCGACGGGAGATATCATGAAACGATATTCCACACTTTCGATAGGCAACGATCCTATCGCTATTGACTTCAGACACTTGGTGGTAAACATTTCTTCTTATTATTATTCGAGGTAGAACAAGATATTCTGAACAAACTCCGACCTTACGAAGCCGCTTTCCGAATGAGAAATCCACTACACAGCGTTTCCTTTATGTAATGCTTCAGACAACGTTTCTGCGCCCACTTCTGGTACCTTATAATGTATTTTTAAATATTTCATAATTTTCTTTCTGCTAAAAAAAATGAAAATGCCTGAAGACAGCTCAGATTTCCTACAATTCCTCCTGTTCCCCCCATTCCTTCGCCATTAAAATGAATATGCAAAGCATTTATGTCCATATGTCGACATTTAATTATACGAATATTTAATATATTTTCTCTAAGCAACATGAATTAAGCAACTGGCACTGCACATTGTAAATGTCATAACCATTTTTTATGCATATTTTTGAAGGAAAAAATGATATCGCATATACTTAATAATCTCACCATGTCTCAGATTTGCAGTGCTCATTTATTCATAAAAATTTCGATAAACATGAATTCCTAACAGATAAACTTTCACTTCTCTCCAACGCATTACAATTCAAGTGCAATTTACATTCCACAGGACATCAGAATGTAAATAAAAGTTATTGACAACGCTAAAGGTTTAGTCCCGTTGACCTACATCCACATGCATGCTCCAAAACCATTTTATGTCTGTTTGCGCTTCTGAAATGAAGAAAAAAACATATTTTAAGGTAATTTATGATCACGCGAAGAGAAGCAATGCCATTTCAATCTGCGGCAATCATCCACTCTTTAACTGTCTGGAAACGGAACCCGAATTAGCTACATAAGGAAGCTTTCAGAACAAAAAATAATTTGTTTATTCCTCGTGCATAAATAATATGATTTCATAAATACTATAAACTATATAGAATAACTTCATTTAATTTTATTTATTTGCTTGCTTGTTCTACATTTATGAATTTATTCCATAAATATTATGTTTTAGAGTACTCCGAAAGAATATCGAAGATACTTTTTTTTTAAATTAGCTTAAACATGTCCCATACATAGCTTTACCCTCCGAACGGTCAAGCCGTATGTGCATGCTAAAAAATCTGATGTGTACACCACATGACTTCCTTGTACGGAATATTAATTATACGCATTTTTTCTTGCATTTATTGGATTGAATTAAATCTACTTCGCCGACAGCGCATAAACCACAATAGAATAAATGCATTCTTTAAAATTCACTCTAGTATTTGTTTATCATAGCGACACTCTGGCGCTATATTCACTTAACAGTATTATATTTCGTTCATATTATAACTCATAATGCACAAAATTTATATCATTTAAAGAATAGAATTATCTAATCGTTGCCACATGTTCTATTCAAATACTACTATAATAAAGCTAGAATGATTTATAAAAGAAATTAAGCAAACAAAACAAAAAAAGAAACAGTTTTTCACAGACGATTGAGTAGTTCTCATTCAATTAATTCAGTTCTCACTTCGCGAGAATTCAAAAATACATAAAAACTCAAAATATCTATATTAAAAATTACGAAGTAAATCTTAAACACTTATTTCCTTGGCAATAATAAATGAAGGCGTTATCTTTGTTGTTGCGAAGCTAAGTTTCTCTAGATTGGCAACAAATCCACTTGTCTGCTGTTTCAAATGTAAATAACCAATGGCCGCCATAAAGAAAAGGCTTAGCGGCACTTAAACAACTTTAAAATTGTTGATAATTCTAAAAATATTGCATACAGTTTTACTAAAGGTATAAAAACCTTAACCGGAAGATAAAAACAACATAATTCAATCATTTTTAAAGCAAAAAATGTACAATTTACAAACATATAAGAGTAAAGAAACTGAGATCATTGAGCCGGGTAACAGAGTGGATATATATATAAATATATTTATATACGTTTGGTGCGGCCGATTGCAACCAAAATACGAGGTGCACATCTACATGTTATAGCAGTCCTATACACAAAATTTCAACGTTCTGAGGCTACTCGTTTTTGAGTTATGCGAGATACGTACGTACGTACATACATATGTTCGTACAGACGCCAAGAAAATTCCTTTAAGAATTTATTTTAAAGCAGTTTTATAATTTTTTTGGAGGAAACGAGTCTTTTATTCTGTCCTTACGTACAGATATCACGCAAAAACATCGTTAAATTGCATTCGAAAGCGGTCAAAGTGGATATTTTCGTTGAAATATGCTGCCTGAAGCTTTTCGCGATTACAATACTTCCTTTTTACTTCGTACAAGGAAGTAAAAATAATTGACTTGATATATTAAAGTACACGGATACGCATCATGAAACATGTCCAGAAAATTATGCTAGTATAAATATTAGAAAAAGCTGAGTCAAGGTACAAAGTATAACAATCATTGTGGTAATCAATAAAATAATATTTACTCATGGAGTCTGGGGAATGTTTAGGGTTTTGAGAGCAAACCCGCATCCACGTGGAAGGATTTAAGAACAGGAAATTTTGCATTTACATAATCACCATACATAAGTAGGTATGGTTATTGTGAAAACATGCTTTGCACTGCCGTCAAATACTCGGCGAGTATGCTTCCGCGAAAGCATGCTTACACCACGAAATCATATAGAAAGGAGGAAGAAAGTACTTTATGCACTCTCTCTTTTTAAAGGGCGAATGGGAATTAGAAGACATATCACCAAATCCTGGTGGTGACGAATTATCGTCCACCATCTTTTGGTGAAAAGAGGGAGAAAATACATTCTAAAATTGCCGTCGAAGAAATGTGCAAAATACGCAAAATTATCTTATTAGAAGTGCCTGAAAATTTTTTTCTACTCTTACATCTTTCGACAAAAAATGAAATTTCAACATACCAGTACTTTGTTATGACAGTTACAGTCCCACACAATACTGATAAATCTCGAAAAATAGCCTAAAAGTTTCATGCTGGTAAGTCGACGTTATTTTATTGGTAATTTCGTAAATAGTATATACCAATATGATCAGCAAGTGCATTTTTAATTCAAACACTAATAAACTTAAACTGTTATACAAATTGTACAGGTAATAAACTAAGATGTTTTTCTCATACAATATTAACGTTACGTCTTCTATAATTTGATTTTTTTTTCAGAAATCGTTAATTCATGTATCACTTTGCATTTGAATTCAAGCTCGGTAAACTAAAGGGTTAAATAAAAAGTAATGATGGCATGACAATACTTCTGAAAAGTCTTTGTTATTATTTTAAATCTCTTCGTTAGATGTACTATGCACAGACACATTAAGAATGAAATTTGTTTCCAAATCCTGCTTATGGACAGTTAGAGGATTTACTTCTAAAGCTTCAAATTTTTTATCATGATGAAGACAGCATCTTTTATTCAATTCGATTAGTATTATCATGCTTAGAGAAACCTTGGCACCAAAACAAATCAAAAGGAAAAGGACAGAAAGAATGGTAAAAACGATTAGAAAGATGATGTGGGTAAATTAACCATTGCATTTATTTTTAAGAAGAACAATGCACATTCTTCGGTTCTTCTTTTTGATTTCGACATTATCATTTATCCTTCGGAAGTCTGTGAGATATCCATCATTGACAATTTCGAATTCTCAATAAATAAACGTCATAAATCTAAAACTTTCCTTTTATTAATTGTCCGAAAGTAACACTGGTTTTCGAAATGGGCGCATTAAATTATATTTTACCCGATCTTTCGCTTTTTACATTTTGTGCTTCTGTATCTTCAAGAAATTGTCTTCCCTATATACAGTCTTAACACATTGACTGCCAGTCTCTAGAGATGGGGTTGATAGTTATTGCCTTGACATCGAAGTAGATTGTACCCAGAAGCCAACATACTAATTATTGGAAATATGATTTAAAATTATTAATGAAATATGATTATTTTATATCTAAGTATTATTTAAGCATTTCCATATGGAATTCTTAACTACGCGCCAGCGCGTGATTGGCACTGCACAACAATTTTTTTCCCAAATGCCACATTACGCGCTGGCGCGTGATTGCCAAAAAAGTGAATCAAAATAAGTAAAAATAAGTGACAGTATGCATTATTTTTATATAAATCTCTATTAAAAAACATATATATTACAAATGAATTTATTACATGATAATTATAATGGTATTATTAATAAAAACTTACATTTTAGAGTGTTATTTGTGTGTAATCTTAGAACAATCTAGGCAGTATCGGGGAGATCCTTCGCAAACTTTGCACACATATATGGGGATCTTTTCGTTTTCCTTCCGAATAACAGCTTTTACACTGCTTTCGCAGTATTTTTCCACCTTTTTTCTCTTCCCGCGTTTTTAGTACATGCTCCGATTCAGATGGATGACACACAGAAGCACGATAAACAGATGGCTGTTTCAATAAGCATCTTATCACGGATAGACGATAGTCATAAAAGGGGCATAACTTCTATTGGAATACTGTTGTAGATAAAGTGGGAATTGGACATCCATTATTTGCAAAATATGCACAAAAAATTTTCGTGGGCCACCTAATCGTTTTCTTTCACAAGGATAATAAGCAAGCATCTGGTCTTGCTTATCAATACCTGCATAAATTATTATACTGAATTACAGGTAGTGGTTTTGTTTTAACTTCACCTCTTTTGTTTGTTTTTTCCACCATATCATTTTTATATTCATTGGAAATATAAGTGACGTCTCTCTTATCCTTCCACTTAGCAATCATCACACCATTAGTATATTTTGCTACAGTTTGCCCTTTCTTCAGTTTTTTTTTTTTTTCTTTTACCTCTTTCGGAAATGTCTTCCTGTTGTTTCTAATCGTCCCAGTACAATGAGTTTTTCTATCAGAAAGACATTTTGCCAGTTCATAGCTGTTATAATAATTGTCCATAAATACGCTATGCCCTACATCCAACATTCCCTCAAGTAAATTCATTACGACTTTCTGTGCATGTCCTTTTCCACCAGAATCATCCAACATACCTGTATATACCATAAATTTGAGAACCATACCAATCAGGGGTTGTGATCATGTACAGCTTGATAACATATTTGTGACGTTTATTTGGTATATAACTGTCTAAATATAAGTCGTCCACGCCATAATATACCATCGACTCATCTAAAATAATCTCTCGTCCTGGGTAATATATTTCAGATACTCGTGCGTTGAACAAATTTACCATACTTCTTATTTTTATATAATCGATCCTTTGGAATTTCTGTATTCTGCTCTGGAATTTTTGCGAAGTGCAATGCCCTCAGTAATATAAAAACCGATTCCTGCTCATGTTTTCAGAAAAAAAAAAACATGTAAACCAAACAGTGAATCGGTTTTCCAATAATCTTGTATGCGGTTGATTCGTATAGTTCCCATATGTAAGATCAATCCCACAAATGTCAAAAGTTCCTCTTTTGTAGTGTCTTTCCAGGCATTGATTCGTGAATGTTTCTTTTTTCAAGGTGAAAAAAAGTCTTTATGAGCATAATCATTAGTTTCAGCAACTACTTCCTCCAAGATACCGTCGGTGAAAAAATGCCGAAAGTAAAGTAATCTGTAGGATTGTTACCTGAAAAGTTTGGAGCAAACACTCGGATTTATGAAAGAGAAAGAAAACTGCTTCATGGATGTTGAATCGTTTTCCCAAGTTAAATTTTCCATTATAGCGGAATTATCGCGCTGACATGTTGCACCTTGAACGATTTGTTCATCATCTTCATCTTCAGAATCCGAAATATCATGGGCATCATTGGAAGGAATGAATTCTTCGTCACTGTCACTGTCGTAGCCGTCGTAACTATAATCACTCGGGTACTCGTCCGATAGCTCAGCCAACAAATTTGCAATTTCATCATCCGTTAAATTCTTTTTGAACTTTTCTCTTTTTGGGGCGAGAAGGCCCTGCACAATTATCATCTGTATAACTCATACCACAAGATTATTTTTTCAATCAAAAATTAAATATTAAATTCGAAACCACGATTATTTACAGATAGTTTCTAATCATAACTACATGCCAATACCAGCAGAAATACCCTGAAAGCAATGCCAAATGAACTAGAGAATGAATAATCAGAAGTGGATTTTCCCGCGCCAGCGCGTGACTGGCTACTGAGACATCACCCCACATCACGCGCTGGCGCGTGATTGGCTTTTCGGCGATAGCGCCACGCCACGCGCAAGCGCGTGATAAGCAGTCAATGTGTTAAGGAAACTGTAGTTAAATGCTACACTGCAAAGAAATCTGGCATAGTTGGCAGATTTATTTTTGCTCCTGAGGAAGAGGACGTTTTTGCTCCAGAGTACCTCTTTGCCCTCGAAATCGATAGTGTTGTAGGGTTTATATTTATTTTAACTAACATTTATTTTAAGTTTAAACTATCTTTCCTGTCAAGCCTTACTTTCCCCTGGAATTGCCAATGCCAGAGTATGTAAATTTTAGTAGAACGCGCAAAGTATTCAAATTGTCAGCGGAAGTAATTTGAGTTAAATAGAAGGGAAACGAGTTCGAAAGTGTGCTTTCTTGCTTCGCTGGCGTGGAGGTGGCTAGGTAGAAATTGAAGAACCACGCTTTTCGGCCTGTGTGCTTGCCTCGGCAGATAGTTGAATCTTTCAACTTAATATTCAGAAGTTTGCTGAAATATCAGCGGTATCTTAGAACGTGGTTAGGTTAGTTACGTTTAGAGCCTCGTAGGTAGTAACTTGTTATTATTCATTTTTAGTTTCTTATTTTTATTTTACCGCCGGGTCGGCGTAGTTTGTGAGCGTCAAGAGCACGCATCTGTAATTTCTAAAGTTGAATAAAAAGGGATTTAAACCCTTCTCAAGACTTTGTGTACTTTCCAGTTCATAGCAGTCACCACTATTGTTGCGTGCAGGTTGGGGCCGCGCAAGATTACAGTGTCTTCGGTAAAATTTACGTGAAACACAAATTTGTTGCTTTGCTAATTTTATGGGACGCACTTAGCAAACAAGATCTAGCCTCAATCTAATGTATTCCCAGCAAGACCAGCATTAGTATCGCCAACAGTCAATTTTCATCAGTCTGCAAGCAAGTGAAATGCAAGCCAAAATCTCACACTCTGTTCGTAAATCTTTAAAGATTATGCAGAGTTGGCCAAACTTCATGTCAGTAAGAGCCGCACGTTGATGAGGAATGAGGAATGTTCGAGAGCCGCATCTAGATTTTCTAAAAGCCACAAGTTCATATTTATATCATTATAGAAGTAGTGGAGGAGGTTTTAAATAGAAAGAAATCCCTGATAACTTTGTAAAAAGAGTCTAAACTAATTAATACGTCTTTCTGGACACTGAATATTTTTAGTTTACCATATTTCACACATATATTTTATATGCACGAGCCGCACAAATTGTCTGCGGCTCGACATATCAGGCCTCTGCAATCTTGGCCACCCCTGTATTATAGTAAAACAATTTACCGTTCAAATCTAAGTAAATTTCGGAATGAGCGAATCTCGAGATAAAAACAGATAAAAAGGCAAGAATTAAATTAAATAATACAATTTTGTTAGTTAAACGTAATGTACTAAGCCATGCTTTATAGAAGACAATATAATAGGACTTTGCCATTGCTATAGGGCATTGTAATAGGTCCATATAATATATAATAGTTTTAATTTTTATTTTTAAAAGATCTATGTACAGATTTGAGGCATCTTCTGAATTATTAAAAAGGTTACAGTGCATATTTATTCTAATTAAACAAATTCCAAATAAAATTAGATTGCAGAGGCATTTATTTGCGGCAGATCATCAGGTGCAGTTGAGTAGGCAACAAGGCATTGTATGCATATAACCTTCCGTAGTTTTTTTCACTCTCTTACGCGTGCTTCAGTTTACGTACTTTCTAGTTTGAGCGAATACATTTAGCGTAATTCAAAGAAAACGGACGGTGTTTAAATAAAGTTTGATTTTTAGTAAAACTTAGTTGTCACAAACTGATAAAGAAGCTCTCTAGTCTTTAATTTAAAGGATATTTAAAATACATATATAGATGCCTGCTAAAAAGTTTAAAAAGATTTCGTTATAAAGAATAATTTGGGACAAAACTGGTCTATCCAAAGGAGAAGAAGCAAAGAACTGAAATTAAAAGAAAGGATAAAGATACGCAAAACTGAAAAACAGTTCTTTGGGGGTATGAAACACGAAAAAATGCTTAATTAAATTTTTCTGACTGGTATTATTAGAAATGAAGCAAAGGCTCATAGCCGATTTCCATAAGCATGAAAATTTCCTCTTTAAATTTCAGTAATACATAATTATTTTATTGTTTTCACTTTTACATTATTAAAATCACAAAAGGTTTTCTTTCTGATATTCTGCAAATATTTTTATTCATAAGAAATTCATTTTTTAAACTTTTTTTGTTTGAATGAACTATGCAATTTGATATTTCCCCCTTATTGTTAATGATCATATTGTTACTTCATGTAATATCATAATATTATTTTTGTGAGTATATCGTGTTTTAAACTGAGGTATTGCCATCAAATAAAAAATGCAGCGATTAAATTATTAGCCCAGCGATTAAAAAGTTAGCTGATTCCGAATTCCATGCTTGGAGGCAAAAACTGTTTATTACAAGAATGCTTTTGTGGCTTTTCCCAAGGTTTTTACGGATGTTGGCTTTTCCAAGTGTCCTCGCCTGTCCTAAGAAATATTCTACGAAAATATTCGCCTTAGGCTGATAGCCATCACATGCTTTTCCTAAGCTAATTATTTGCCTGTTGAATGAGAAATTATGACTTCTAATTAAAGTACTTGATATTTGCCTACATGCAGATAATTTAATATAATAACACTGCATAGCAACTTCCAGTTTCTCTGGAGTATGATCTATAATTCACTTTCTCTTTTGGATCTTGAAATTAGAAATGCAGTACTCCAATCTTACGCAAGGTAACATGGAACGTATATAACTAAAATCGACATAACTCGGCGGCAGCAGATTTTGGATTAAAATTACAATTATAAAAATATTGCAAAAAATAATGGTTTAGTATCACTTTAAACCTATTTCCATAAATTAATTAATTTAAAATTAAATAAAAACCAAAAAAAAAAAAAAAAAAAAAAAAAAAAAAAAAAAAATAAAAAAAAAAAAAAAAAAAAAAAAAAAAAAAAAAAAAACAAAAAAAAAAAAAAAAATACGTGTAAAGATGTTTTTGTCGGTGTATCAATTATACACATGAATACTCATAATTTCTACAAGAGAGGAAAATCTTAGTGCATAGATATTTTTCTGTTAATGTGTTACGTAGTATATGATATTGATATATATAAATGAGGCAAATGCTTGTGCAAATTATCAGTGAGATGCATTATAATTAAATGTACTAAATTCATAAAGTAAATGCATTAAATTATCTCAATAAACAAAGCTAAACGATTCTGCGTTGATGTATGTAAGATGTAGCGTTGGGCACATCTGTTATGAATTATAATAATGGTGCAAATGTTTATTAGAATTTTCAGTTAGATATATAAATTAAATGCATTGTAAATTATGAAGTAAAAGTAAAACTGCTAATTGGATGCATTATAAATCAAATCTAATTTAAATTACCCTAGTTAGACTATAACATTGAAAATAAAATAAATATTTAAATTGTATTAAGAAATTATTTAAATTGTATTAAGTAAATCCATCATTCTGTTAAGTAATTACAGGTAAATTAAATTTAAAGATCTTATTCTTCGTCGAACAGCAATACTTTGAGAAAATTATATTTGAGAAGTTGCGGGAAGATAAATTAGTGACTTTACGAATTTCAGAATGGCAACACTTGACAAATCACATTAGTAATAAATAAACTAGCAGCATATAGAGAACCTTAGACTTTTTGGAGAAATGTGAAAATCAACTGCGTCCTTGCCAGAATTCGAACCAGGCATTATCCAACTGCAAGCAGGTTATGCTAACCACGTATACCGCAACCGCACGCACGGTTGAATGAAATAGCTCCTTAGTGGCATAACATAATGCAACG